TTCTGCATTTGAACCCAGCTTTCTCCTTGATATTTTGAAGAGCTACTTGCCAAAATCAGAAGATTAGAACTTTTCAATATTTGGAAATATGAGATGTGGGTCTTTATTGGCACTCTTGCCCTGGGCCTGCAAACAGGAGTCTGTATTCAGTTGGTCTGTAAGTGGAGGGCTCACAGTCCGGGTTGTAAATACGGAAGGGATGATATTGTCCACACATTGGGAAACCAATGAAAACAGAAACTGGGGCAGAGTGAGGCGAATGCCCAGAATCCATCTAAAGTATTTCCCAGTCAGCAGTGCAACCTGCTGAAAAAGCTGCACTAAATGTAACAGTCTGTTTGCACTCTGCTTCTGAGAAAAATCTGTTGCTGTTTAAAATAAAAACATCCCATTTTGTAATTTTAATGCTTTCAATCACATAATGTGTGATCTTTTCACAAGTTAAGTTACTATCACCAAGTTAAAATATGTTGATAAAAGTTCAACATGTGGAGGCATTCCTGGGAAAGAGAAAGACAAAGTGGGGAGTGTAGTGAACTGAAATGTTTTCTACAGGCGATTGAAATTCTGCTCTGCAATCCCTGGGTGTGGAGATATAATTTTGTTAGGAGCATTTGGTTTTGAAATGTTTTTCTTGTGTTTAAAATATTTATTCAAAAGGCATTTATCTTCATTAAAATGTACAGGTTATATCTGTAAATACAGGCTAGATACAGCTATAAAGCTGGAAAAAAGCGTTGGAATTCTGCCGCTGTTCCCTAAATCCATGTGTTCATAAACCGACTTCTGGCAAATAGGAATTTACCATGTCCAGATTTAACAGTGACGAGGAACCCAAGTTCTCTTAAACATAACATAAATTGAGTGGCTCCATGTTTGTTTTGTGTCCTTGGCCCTTCCTCATCAGAGCTCGCTTGCACCAGTGGCCATAGTCCCTAGGTCTCTGTTTATGCCCCATGCTCTGGACCATCTTGCATTCTCTAAACTCGGAGTTTGTGTTCATTGCTAAACATAGCTCTTAGAGTCATTGAACTTGTGATGCTCTTCTGAGCATCTTAAGTTTTAGAGCTTGGAAACAGAGTCAGCAGCCTGTGTGAGTGTGCCCTCATGTTCCAAATCAGAAATCCTCACCATGTTTCCCCAGAACATCTCAATGGCTTTATGGATCCCTGCTGTTACTTCTGTAGTCTGCCAGCGCTGCTGCTTTCCTTCATTATATCGAACACCAGGAACATTTATATAACAAGTGGGAATTGAATGCTGTCTATTTAATCTCTTTGTATCATGTTGTAGTTCATTAGCTTATCACCAGGGAGGATGGTTGAACTATGCTGCCACCGTGAGATCCCCAAAATTTTGCTAAACAATGAAACAGTATTGTCTGAGAACTGTTTATGCACCTTTAAAAAGTATTACTGTCTTCTTTGCTGTATTTCTTACATTAATCCCATGTGAATTAGACATACAAAAAATGGATTTCTGAAGTGCTATATACTTGCAAAAAGTGAGCTACAAATTTGGTCCTAAGTTTTCTTTTAATGAACAGAAGGGAGGAAAGATCATTCTGAACCACAGATAAATGTGTCCCCTAAAATACCTAACACTCACTCTCTAGTTTCTGCAGTCAGAATTTTTTTTAAATATCCAAAGCCAAGTAAGGAAATCCACCATTCCACATGCGGTATTATCGCCAATGGTCAAGATGATTTCCAAAGCAACAGTGGTGATGATTAAAATTGTCCTGTTAGTGGCTTCTTAAGACTCAATTCTCTGCTTCTTCAAGCCAATTTAGCAACACTGCTACATGCTTATTTCCTACCTCCAGACCTTGGGATGGTCATGGCCCTCTACTTCACTCTCCAAGTATGGAAAGAAAAGTAATCTTAATGCTTAAACATGGCTTCTTTTCACAAATTAAGAGAATGCTTCATTTTTTCCTTCAGCTCTGCTCATCTATTAATTCATTTCTTCATTTATTTATTCTATAAATACTATATGAGTATCTACAGGTATGGTTCTAGACACAAGCAAGCAAAATAAAAATCCCTACCCTCATGGAGTTTACAATCTAAATGGATGGGAAGCAGCAGAGGTGGGGATGAAATGCATAACAAACCCATAAGCGAAATATACAGTTTATCAGATGGTAATAATATTGCTAAAAGTATGGCAGGGAAGAAAAGTATAGAGCGCTGTTGTGAGTAAGGATGAAATTTGAAATACTGCTCTCAGAGAAGGCTTCTCTGAGATGGTAAGGTTTGAGCAAATATTTTAAAGAGTAAGTGAAAATCAAAAAGCTAGGAATAGCGGAAGTGAAGCTCAGAGGAATGGGAGGTAAGATCACAAATGTAAGCAGAAAAAAAATTTTTGGTCCTCATCTGAATAAGAAGGCCCTGGATGATTTGGGGCAAAGGAGTGGCTTGATTTTATGTGTATTTCAAATTGATCATTTGAGTTGCTGCATTGAAAACGGATTGAAGTGGGAGGCAAGGCAGAAACAGGGAGACCAGATAAGATATTATCACAATAATCACTGTGAGACATGATTGTACCTTGGACCAGGTGACAACATGGAAGAGTGAGAAATGGTCCAGCTGACAGATTTATAGATAAATTGTATATGGAGTGGGTAAGAAGGAGATATATTGGTTTCCTCCAGGTTTTTGGATGAAAGAAATGAAAAGAAAAATGGAGTTTCCATAAATCACATTGAAGAAAATTGTGGGAGGAGTAGGTGGTACTGGGGAAAAAAAATATCAGCAATGCATAGAAGGGACATGTTATGTTTGAATTCCTATTGAACATGCAAGAAGAAATATGAGAATAGGCAGCAAAAATCACAGATATGGTGTCCAGGAGAAAGATCTGGTCTATATATATAATTTGGGAATTTTCAACATGTTTGATGGTATATGTAGTTATGAAACTGGATGAGATCACCAGAAGAGGATGCAAAATAATTTCCTTGCTAAGTCATAAAACAGAAGAGTTTGATAACTGTAGCAAGGAAGTGAGGGGGAAAAATTAAAACCTGGAGAAGAGACACTAGGATAGAACCACAAATGGGAACATGGACTCCAGAAAACAGAGTGTTTGGATTGCTTCAAGATGAGTGTGATTCATGCTGCTGAGAGGTCGAATAAGTGAGGACTGCAAAACGACCATAGGATTGAACACCATGGAGATTGATGAGCTTGTCAAGAACCCTTTCAGTGTAGCAATGCAAGCAAAAACCGGATTAAAGCGGTTTCAAGACAGAATGAGAGGAAGAAAATTAGACGTTGACCGATCTTAGAAAGTTGCTCTTATAAACGAAAGTAGATAATTGAGGTGTTACCTGCAGATGTGAAATAAAGAGATGATTTTCTTTAGCAAAGAAGAAATTTAAACATGCTTGAATGCTGATGTAAATTGTCCAGTATATAGAGAGAAATAACAATGATGCAAGTGAGGTAAGAGTAGATGATGAGATGTCCCTGAAGAGACAAGAGATGACGTGGTGCACAAATGGAACCATTGGCCTTATGCAGGAGCACAGTCAGTTTGAGGTTAGTAACAGGAATGAAGGGCAAGTCTGTAGATGTTGACACAGGCAAGTAGATGTGATGGTGGAAGTTTGTGAAGGCCTTTTTAATTGCTTCTACTGTAATTCTGAAATAGGATCTACAAAATCAGCTGAAAGTAACAATGGGGGAGGAGGCATTGGAGGATTGAGCAGGGATATGAAACAATGAAATAGTCATCCAGGAGAATAGAAGAGTGAATGGACTAAGGTCCATTTGAAATTTGTGGTCTTAAAACAAAGAAAGAATAGAATGGCCATGTGTATGTGTGTGGTGTTTTTCTCTAGTTACATTCATCAAAGTGGGCAAAAACTGATTTTTTCCTAGAGTTTGGGCTTTGCCAGAAAAGTTATAGTAATGGAGGAAATGGCAATGGGCTTGAGAATGTAGTAATTTAGATGGCAAAGGAGTGAAAATAAAGACTTGAGGGGAATGAAGAATAATAAAAGGATAAATTATTTTCCCTAATGAAGTCAAACAATTGTTGGAGTCAGAGCATGAGAAGAACTCACGTGGTAAAATAGTGGCTGACAATCTGTCTAGAAATTGAGATTAGGGAAGAGAACAGCTATTGTTAATGACAAATCTAGGGCATCATTATAGATAGGACTGAGTAACTCAGTGTACACCTCAATAAGGGTTTATAACTAGGACAAGGCATAAGGTAAACAACGTGTCTGGATATTGAATTGCGGCAGGAGAGGTATTCGAGATCAAGGTGGAGCCAGCTACTAAAATCTCCAAGGAATGGAGAGGGAGGCCTGGGCAAGTAGTCAGTGTATAAATGCTGTTGGAGAGTTAATAGGTGATGTAGTTTGATGATATAAGATTCAAAGTGAAGTGACTTCATATCCCACTCTGGGAGACAGGCTCACTAAAAACAATTAGAGAGCTGCATGGGGATTAGGAAACTGAGATTTTTGTAATAACCAAAGGAAATAGAAAACATACTACAATAGCTGAGGTAAAGATGATGAAGTCTGGAGTTGCATAAATAAAAGTGAGAATGAAAATATATACTTAAAAACATACCTGACAAAATTAGGTGACAGAATGGATACGGTCGACTAGAGGATATTGAATAATCTGTTCAGTTTGGGACATGTTGAATTTGGGATGCCTGTAGTACATCCACTTGTTAACCAGTGCACAGCCTGAAACACGTGTCTAGAACTCAAGGAGGTGATACAATATTGAAAATCAGCGGTGGTACCCAAAACCACAGAAACCCATGGAAAATCCTTAGGTGAAGCACGGGCTTTGAGGCCTTAGCAGAGAAGAATGGCCCAATAAAAACTTTGTTGAAGGAATTCTTATTATTGAAATCGTATCGGGAGCAGTGATAGTGATATACAGATGGCTAGTGGTAGTGGTAACAATACAAATAAAATACTAATTATAAAGGAAAAGTTAAATCAAGAGCTGTTGTCCCACAGTTTTATTAAAAATCATGTCATATTTTATTTAGTTGTGTTAATCTTGATATCAAGTGCGTTGTCTGAATCCAAATAGGCATGCAATAAAGGAGTGTTGAGGGAAAAAAAAAAATGAACATTTTCCCCGAAAGAGTTGACCAAAGCTGTGTGTAACTGAAACATCATGAATGAAGCTTAAGGATCTTTGACCTTGCCCTTGGTCCAAAAGTTTTGCCACTTTATGCTCAGAGTAATTCAGAGACCCGTGTGTTACTCGGATCTTTCCTGTCTTCTTGAAGCCAGTCTCTAGGGTCATCAGAACGATGTCAGGGGAGCTGGACAAGGAGAGCAGCACCAAAACAGCAAAGGGGTCAAACTCGCCATTTCTGACCGCAACCACTGTGACTAAACCAGCCCGTGTCTCAATGTTCTCCGCGGATTTGTCCTATTCTTCTTCTTCCTGCCACATCTCCGTACCTGTGGAAATCCCAATGGTGAACATAGTTTCGGCTCAAGCTGAAACTCTCAATACATGGATTTTGCAGATGGGGAAAATGAAATTCAGAAGAGTAGTTACTTGTAAACAGCCAGGTAACTGATAAATTGTAGAGCCTTCATTTTCAGTTAGACTTGCTAACACCACAGCCTAAGTGTTGTCCATAGAATATATGGCATTTACAACTAAACAAAATTCTTAAAGCATACTCAATTTATAGTGATTTAAAATTTTACTAATTTGTTCTCAACACATGTTCCTAGCAACTCTGTTGGCAAAAATAGCATTGTCTTAAATATTGTAAACTAACAACAAATTATCTGTGTTCTACAATACCAAGCTATTTTAGAAATGTATTATGCAATGGGATTTGTCCTACAAATTATGCCTACAATAGAAGGTAAAGAGCTGACATCAATAATTAGCAAAAGACAGAATTTTGATTCATTGGTTCATGTCTGCATTGTTTATATAATGTTACTGCCACAATTCAAAACAACATGCAAACTATGTTAAAGTCCTATTTAAATTATATAAATAGAAATTTGCACTCTGCCAACATATACTAGTGTGTGTGTATGGTGATAACTTTTGTTACTATCTATAACATACAATATTTTGCAGAGTTTAATTCATTTTTAAGAAACGATTAAGAACATAGGTAACTGGGACATGTTTTAAATTGTTCTTGACTTAGAGATGCTTGACAAATTAAAAATGGAAAAATGCCATTCATTATAACAATATTAAAATAAGCATGTACTATATATAAAAAAAACTTTTAAGTTCTAAAATGAAGTTTGCTATCCATTTGACATTTATTTTATAATTATTCTTAAAATTCACTGGAAGAATCTCCAAGGCTTCCCATGTAACAAAATTCTCTCTGAAGACTGCTATTTTGTTTCTGATAAATTATTACACAGGCTTTTAAAACCTGGAGGAGAATATCCAAGGGGGTTAACCAAAGTCAATAAATTAAGTATTACCAAGTTCAATATCTAAGGGAATAGTAGAAAAGTTCCATTTTCTTCGTTCATCATAGTTTGGTTAATTTTCTGATATATTTTAAAATGGTGACATTTCTTTTCTGGTTTATAGCAGGTCAATCCAGATAGTCTAATCTATCATAAAGGGTTTAAGGCTAATGGGTAGCAACTGGATAGGTTATGAAATAGAATGAGGGAAGAAAGGATCTGAAAGGAGCTCAAATTTGATAGATGTTGGCATAAAAACTTCTTTAAAATCTGAACTGTGCAGAAACTTGATGGTTAAATGGAGCAGATTTTATAAATGAATGTGGCGGTGTGATTGAACACAGTGGGGAATCATTGTATTCTTCTTTTTATTATGGCCCTTATTAAAAAGAAAATAGTAAAGGCTGTTACCTGGTAAAATAAATCCAATACATGTGCCTCTGTAAGTTTTTAAACCTGATAAGGGGGAAAGAAAAGAATATGTCAGTAACGAAATGAATCGAACTTTGGCAATGAAGGTACATTTGATACTTTGAATGAACAGACATCTTGTTTGACTAGAAATGATCATGGTTCCCATTTCTTGTCAAACATGTTAGCTTCTTGCTGTCAGAGAATGCTATTCCATTTCTGATATTTCAGCATCAGTCTTTTGCTATTAGAAAACCAATGCCGTTGGCTGTCAGGACTTTACAGTTTCAATTGGCAGACTTATCTGTCTTCAGCAGGATTAGACAGAAATATATCTCATTCAGAGGCTGCTCCTGTGGAAGACGGCTGCAGCCGCAGGAAATTTGAGTACATTAGCTTCAAAGGACCTATCTGCCACTCTTCTGACAGTAGGCTCTTCAAAGTACCTTCCAATCTCCTGCTCCTTGGGCGGTTTTCTCTGCATCTTAAATATGTATTCTTGGCATTACATATAAACTTCAACAATCTCTATGTTTTAACATTATTTACATAAATACAAGAACAAGTCATAGATTTTTACTCAATTGGCACTAATGTTTATGATAAATTGCATAAAAACCATGGGAAAAGCTCATAGACAGTGTATCTCAGATAAAATCAATGTCTGTAGGACAGATTAAAATATCAGAGTGAATGAGAATTTTATACGAATGGCCTGTAAGTTTAAAATAGTGCTCTCCTTTAAAAAAAGTGTTAACTGGTAGTTTCAATTATTACTTAATATTTACAATACAGAGGAGTTGTCAGAGGAAGTCATGGTGCTTTAGTTATTTGAAAGAAAAAAGTGGTAATTTCTTCTGTTTTTCAGAAAGGGTGCAGACTGTTTCCAAGGATCCCATCTACATTTTCTCTTCCTATTCTGTCCTTCCTCCCTCCTCATCTCACTTCTCTTTCCCCTCCAAAAAAACCCCAATGAAGCTGCCAGAGGGTGACGGTCTGCGTGTGTGTGCGTATGTGTGTTTCCTTTTCCTGAGAGACTACATCTCTTGGTATTTATATGCCTCTAAAATTTTTTATCAAGTGCTTTATAATCTATTCATTGAGTATTTTATTACTCTATGAAATCTGCAAACATCTTTACTCAGAAAATCCCAACTCTCTCTCTAGCATGGGAAAATAGCCTATATCACTGAAAAATGTCAGTGGCTCTAGTTGGGTTTGACTTTTTATTTTTGTGGTGACAAATAAATTCTGTAGAGACTATTTCTTTAATTCTCGATTTTAACACACTGTGTTGGTAAATCATAAGACATTTTTGGTTTATTTTATTATTTTTTCTCTCATTTCTTGTTTGTTTTGGTCACTCTTTCAGAAGGATACCAACGGTTGAGTAACTAGTATTGATAAGTAAGTCTTACTCGATGTTTTTGCATAACATAGTTTAGGGTCTTCTTTCTTTATTTGGATAAATTTTCGATAGACTTTTAAGGCATAGCCACAAAAATAGTTGATAGAACAGTGATAATCAGAAGCCCCTATGGTCCAAAAAGAAAAGTTCATTTAGCATCCTATATGCTTTGCTTCAAAGAGAGGTGAAAGCTACTCTTTTGTAATTAACACAGAATTTTTATGGTGTAAGGTATACTACAATCTATGGCTTTATAGCTCAAAGTAAATGGAAACCTAACAAACAACTGCTTAATTTGATCACTGGAAATAACTATACTGGATAATTGTTATTTAATACTGATTTATTTCCCTTGATGGCCCAAGAAAATACACAATGCAAACATGTGGGCCTGTCCCTAAGGGGCTTACTTCACATTCACAGATTTGACTATTATTAAGTACCTTGCCCTCACACACATTTGCAGTTATCCTCACTAAAACACAGTTACTAATTACAGAAGGATTTTCTCGTAGGAATTTTGTTTCCAATTTTATAATTATCTTTGGTGCGTTTCTCTGGCAAAGTCTTTCACATCTCAGTTAAGCTGCAGAATCTAAATTAAAAACAGTACAGTGATGTCATTTAGCATATTGTCCACTATGAAGTCCTCATATCTCTCCTTTATCTAGCATAAATCCAGGTAATTTATTCAGAAAGCATTTATTAAGCATTTAGTTTCTGCTAGGTCCTGAGGATTCTATCTACTTCTGCGAGAAACTCACAATTTGCGAATGAGAGAGGACATGTAGTGTCAAATTTTAATAAGGTTTATGTCTAGCTACCAATAAGAATTAAGCATTACAAATCAAAACTACACTAAGATATCACCTTACACCCATTAGAATGGCTAAAATAACCAAGACAAAAAATAACAAATGTTGGAGAAGTTGTGGATAAAAAGGAACCCTCATACACTGCTGATGAGAATGCAAACTGGTGCAGCCACTATGGAAAACAGTATTTCTCAAAAAACTAAAAATAGAAATACCATATGACCCAGCCATCTCACTACTGGGTATCTATGCAAAGAACTTGAAATCAGCAATTCAAAGAAACTCGTGCAACCCTATGTTCATTGCATCATTATTCACGATAGCTGAAAAGTGGAAGCAACCTAAGTGCCCATCAACTGATGAATGGAGAAAGAAGATATGGTACATATATATATATATATATACACAATAGAATAGTATTCAGCCATAAAAAAGGATACAATCATTGCATTCACAACAACATGGATGGACCTTGAGGATATTATGTTAAGCGAAATAAGCCATATAGATAAAGACAAACTCTGTATGACTCCACTCATATGTGGAAGATGAACAAACACATGGACAAAGAGAACAGATAGTAGTTACCAGGGAAAAGGGTAGAGGGTGGGCAGAAAGGGTCAAGGGGTGCACGCACAATATAACTGACAAATAATAATGTACAGCTGAAATTTCACAAGGTTGTAAACTGTCATAACTTCAATTAAAAAAAAAGAATTAAGCATTATGGGAGTACAGAGGGAGACCAATTCATTCTTCCTGAAGGGGTTTGCAACGATTTACACAAAGTTCTTCCTTAAAGGAAAAATATCAATGAATTTAAAAAGACATTTCATCTTTGAGTGCATTTCTCGTAAAATGAAATTACTCTTGTGTGTGTGTGTATATGTAGTGTGTGTGTGTGTGTGAAAACAGAAAATATTATTGGACAAAAAATCAGGGAAAATTATTTTTTCTTTATGGACCATAAACTACAGTATGTATATTTAGTCTTGTAAGAAGAATGACTTTAGATGGAGATGTTGGCATACCCTTTTGTACTCCTGGATAAACAATCAGAATCAGTTGTCTATCCACTAAAGGGCAGTGGTACATAATGCATCAAACTTTCTGAAAAATTGGCATAGCCAATTACTTCATTTATGTGTCTCTGAATTTACTACAAATATGTTTACTCATACGTATCATCAAAAAGGAAAACACGAATGAATTAGAGGTGTTCTGCTCTTATGTTTATCTAAAGGTTCTATGCTTGAATAGAGAGAAGTTCCAATTCAAAACAATATTTAAATATTTATCAGCCTGAAAATAGTGATATGCACATTGCTAGGCTTGTTACTTTTTGTGGCCATTGATTTATATAATTCTAATTTGTCTATTTTAGAAACTGACATTGCAGTGAAATGAAATCTTTGGGTAGGAGAAAATAAAAGCTGCAAATGAGACACAGTTCTAATACTATCACAGAAAATTATCTATTTTCACTTATGATACCTTAACTGTCATCCCCTAAATAGTGAAGCAGGTTATTCCCTAATATTTAATGCCTCACTAAGTTGTTTCTTATTAGAAATTGTATTGCTTAAAACAGACATTTTCCTAACGGTGTCATGGTTTTTCCTACATTTTATGTCATTAAAAATTATGCATGCCTCAACAACAGCATATCCCAGTTGAGTCATATCAATGTAAATAAAAATGCAAAGAGGCAAAGTCGATAATAGTACCAAAAAATTGGTGTTTAGGGTATAATCTGGAGATTCATACTGCACAGATGTTCAGCAGAAATGAGATCTGCACCTCAATTGAGTAAGAGTATTACCTGTTTTATTGCTCTGTCTATGTACAGCAGGCAAGGGTGCAGAGACTGTGACCTTGAATGCATCACAGAAGAACACGCTGCTTCAGGAAAACAAAAAAAATCCCTACTCAAAGGCAAGTATGTTCAAATAGTGAGAAAATAAAAGTAATAAAAAAAGTAAGAAGTTAAAAAAATTAAGCTAACAAATATTGCAATATCTAGTGTTTAGATCTAGGGTGGCAGTTGTGAATGCATCAGTTTAGTCAAGATAAAAAAAGTGAAAGAAAAGATATTTTATTTCTGCAGCGAGACTGGGGATTCAAAGAGCATGTCAATCCCTTCAATTTCTGCTGTTATCCGCAATGTGATTATTGTGCAGTTGGTCAGGGAGAGTCACTCAAAGGTACTTGATTTTGTGTAGTTTACAACCAACTTACGTTCTTCCTGAATGTGTCTGTTTATTTATCTTAGTTTAGATGTCTGGATCCCTGATGCTTTGAAAATAGTAGAAACAATAGTTACCACTTAACTTCAAAAGGAGCAAAGCTAATTTTTAATAAAATTTGAGCATCACCACTTCACACACACACACACACACACACACAAAGCCTCTGATATTTCTCCAAATCAAGGAGAGCCACCTTTCTAAACTCCCTTCTTTAATTCAGCTTGACCTTCCTTCCAGTGACTAGATATCTGGGGGAATTATAGCATTAATTGGGTTTTAAAGACGTACAATTTCCTTCAATTTGGCATTTCCTTCAATTGTGGGTAGAGGCTCTGTCGCCAAGAGGCAAAAGCAATATTTTTATATCACAGTATAGATATATCTTGCCAGAATGAAGACTGGAGCCCATGTTTACTCAAGCAAAAATCAGACTTTTTCTTCCTCTCAAAAAATTTTATCTCAAAAACCATAGTGGTCCAGAAGAGTGTTAACAAATATCTTATGCATTTCCTATATTGATCAAAATAAATAACAAGAGCAAAATTGTCATGTCATCACAATATGCAAAATGTA